TTTTTCGGAATAGTATTGTCAGTCTTCTTTATTGAATTAAGAGCAAATATTTTACATAATGTTTAACTTTTCAGATAAAGTTTTCACTCCTACTTATGCCAAGCTGACAACCACAGATATTCAGTTAAACAAAAAACTCCTCACTGAGGCCAGTGTTACTTTCCCAATGGGTGAGTAAAAGCTCTAAGATTTCACTTTTTTATCTTGAAATTATTAAGGCTGTTATTTTTTTAGGATGACATGTGTTATTGCATATATCATAGCATTTGAAAGAAGTCTTATTAATTTTTTTTTTTTTTTTTAATGTATATTTACTTGCATATTTTCTAACTTTAGAGGTCTCCTTTGTCCCTCTGTAACCACTATGCGTCAATCACTAAGTGTTGCTGGCTAATAGACATTGCAAAGTTATTGATGTAGATATTATTAGTGTGTCAATTTTGATCAGGTGCATCGCAAATATAAGGATATATTTGAGACATAGCTTTTTTTCAAATTTTGTGTGATCCAGTGTGTCCTTTGGATTTGGTTGTTTAGATTTATGTGTCTTTTCATTAATAAAATACCTTTTCTTATGTCTTCACTATCAGTCCTAGGGCTTTGATGTTAAGTACGAAGATATCTAATCTTATAGGATTATTAGGTATATGTTGTCTTATCTTATTTTAGGATTATTTGGAATATGTGAACAATTGTATGACTTGTACCTTATTGCTGGTATAAAGAATATTACTAATTTTTTTGCCCACAAAAAAATTGTGCTGAAATAGGTCAGTTGCTTACAGATAAAGATTTTTTTGTCATTGGTAAGGACTGAACAGTTGTGGATATGGGTAAATAAGGTTACAAGGTCATCTGGTGTTAAGTCAGGGACACATTCCATGGAATAATAGATGACTAAATCCTTTATGAGGCTCGGGAAGTTTTTATCTGGAATTTATGAATGTAAAGAAGCATTGTTCTTTTTTTCTCTCTCTCTCTTGTGATTGTTTTGGAGAGAGTGTCTCAATTTTCTAATGGTTTGCTTCACTTTTTCAAGAATTTAAATCTTGGAATCTCCATTGCTTTACAATGTTTATTTATCACGGCATAATTGATGTAGAATAAGTTTTATCTATCACTTGGCAGTATACAGTGTAATGTGATAAACACTAGAAATTTTCTGGCATTCTGTTATAGGATTATGATAAGAGAAGAGAGTTTGTAGATTGTCAGTGGGATAAGAAACATACTTTGGCATTCCGTCTCTATCTTTTATTCAATATAAATGTGAAGGTCAAGGTTTCCAAAGAATTACGATATGGAGAGGTAGTAAGAATATTGAGGTGGTTTAGTCTTTCTTTTTGAATGGTAGTTAACAAGTTGAAATAACTTAGCATCTTAACTGTCTGTTTCCTTTTATTTAAAATACAGCAGTTTTGGGAATACATATCCATATATTTTCTTTGAATCATGTTGCATATGATAATGAGTTTAAAGAAGAATTCTGTTAAGATTAACATTTTTCTTGTGTCTAAGTAACTGAGTAATACTGATTTTAATGAAACTAATCACAGAGAAGATGTAAGTGAAAGAGTTTGATAAATTCTAAAAAGATTTAACTGTGTAATCCAGCTTCTGAACGTATTTTATAATTTCAGTTTGTAAACCGGTTACTGGAGGGGGAACTAAGGAAGCCCATGAGGTAAGTATTTTTTAAACATTTGTTATGGTATGAAATGTTTTCAAGCTTATATACTACCCCATTTATTATTATCCATTGCTAGAAGAAAAACAAAACAAATGTTTAACCAAATATTTGTTAACTTTTATAATGAATGTGCATTACAAAACAGTAACCATGAAATCAACAATATGTCTGTATAGGAATGTAACTGTTTTTGACTTGCTTGTTTATAATCATTATTAACCCCATGCCATTGGGGATGGCATGTGTGTACATGCCCTACCCACTGTGTGATAAATTTAGTAATTGTTTTTACACATAGATGGCTCCACAAGTACTAAGTCACCAATGACTCCAATAACAAGTACTATCTGTCTCACCTGTTTACCCCTTTCCTTGATTTTTAAAGATATTATCTGATATTATTGTACTTAGTAATTTCAGTAACTATTTAGTAATTTTGATATGCAAAATAAAGATAACAGTATCAATATTGTTAGCATTAGTAAAGAAAATGTTTTTTCTACAAACTCAATGAAAGGTAAAATCGCAAGATCTACTAATTGGACTCCTTTGTGGCTAAGCACTTACAAAGTCATTTATGAGACATTTCACAAGACAATACTACAGTGAACACAACATTTTTCTGGGGGCAATGGGTTAATAAGATTAAGAGCAACAAACACAAGAAACATTGCCCTGAGAATTTTATTTTCAAAATAATGTTCCATTCCAAGGTATTGCAGGACTTTGTTTGACTATAGTCTAATTCATGCATGATATTATAAAGCTCATTAGGTGACGCAGAAGTTAAATGATATAATCTTTGACTAT